CTGCTGGGCGAGGGCGCACCCAGAGGCTTCTGATGTGCCAACCTACTCTAGCCTCGTTCGCCAGAAAGGACTTCGAGCACCAAGGAAGGCACCGAAGCTTGAGGGTCATCAAGTGTCGGGCCCTGGGGGGCGACGCTCGCTCGACACTGCTTCGACACTGTTTTGGGGTGCTCGCCATTCTTTCTGGGATGTGGTCCTCAAGTACGATGCGAGCAGCATGACAGGAGACGACCCTGACGTCGGGCGGCTGGAAAACATCGAGACGGGGCTGTGTCTTAGTTTTCGGTCTCTCGGGGCCCCGCGGGGCCTCTGGGCAGCGGTCGAGAGGTCGGAGGCCGGTGCCTCGAACAGAATCGAGACGAGGCCAGGCTGGCGGCGCGCACGAGGAGGCAGGGGAAGAGGGAAGGTTTCTTAGAGTGAGGCCGCGTCTTCGAAGGCGCGGGCCCTACATCTGCAGGCAAGGCCCGCGCCTGCTCTAAGAGGCTGGGGTGCTTCTAGGAAACCTGCCCCGCTTCCCCTGCCCTCTTGTTCTTTCCATCGCAGTGGAGGACCACATCCCAGAAATGATTTCGAGCACCCCGAAAAGTATCGAAACAGCGTCTGCCCGACACGCTGGCGAAGTACCAACGAATATCGCCTCCCAAGGCCCGACACATGAAAACCCTCCAGTCTCGGGATGTCCTTGGTGCTCGACAATCTTTCTGGTGCTCAAGGCGATTGCAGGTCGGGACACCGTAACCCTACCCCGCACTGCTCATGGCTGGACAGGACAGGGGCGAAATCGGACAAGGATAGGCAGGGTCAGGTCGGGCGTGTCCTCCTACAGGCGGATTTCTGAGGGAACATTTAAGATATCCCCAAACTACTCAAACTACTCCAAAATAGTCGACGAATCGTCCCCAGACAATGTTTTGACTATTTTTGAACATTCTCTTCCTGTAGAGGGACACGCCCGACTTGACCCGACCGCGCACTGCGCGTGGCTGGGGAAACCTGAAAAAGTACCGATACCGCTACTCCCCAGACCTCTCCCCGGGTGCGCTCTGACCAAGATTTCGAGGCGAATCCAGCGGTGGCGACGAGGGCCTCCCGGGAGGCCTAAGAAGGGGGAAAACGAGAGAAGGGTAGCGGTATGGATGCCGTGACAATGGACACTCTACCAATCCTATCATTGAATTAAGCATGTGCTTAACATGTGTAAGACATGTTCTAAATGTTGTAAACGTGTTTCTACGTATTTAAAGCATGTGTGAATGTAGACATCTGGGAATTGTGTGGCAGCATGCTTCCTCTCCATTACTTGCCTTCCACAAGGGTAATGGTAGGGGTACCATTTCCTTCTCTGAATGGCTGGCCAGGACAGGGGCGAAACCGGACAAGGACAGTCTGAGATCTGGCGGTCTGCGTGGGCGCCAGGGGCCGCCGGCCGGCCCGCCCCGCCGTCGGCAAGCCCGCGCGGAACGTCGGCGCGCTCCCGAGCTCCCGACGGGCGAGGGAGGCTTTTGGGTGCCACAACAATGGGCACCCTAACAATCCTATCATTGAAGCAACAACGGGTTTCAGATGTTGGAAATGTGCTCTGAACGTGCTTTTCAGCATGTGTTTTACCTGTCTGAGACATGTTGAAAACAAGTGCTAGACATCTCGAAACTACTTGGCAACACGCTTCCTCTCCATTGATCGTCGTCCACAAAGGAGGGCGAACTTCCTGTGGCAAGTCCTGGGAGTTCTGAGCCATAGGGATCTCAAGGGCTTTCAGGCCCGATGAAGGGGCCATCGGGCTGGAGCAGGCTAGGTCAAGCCCAGGATGAGGCCCCCCTCTGCGCGCCACCAGTGAAAGACGAGCGCGCCCCATCGAAGGAACAGTGGGCGTGCCATGCTGGCCCAAGTCATGTTCCGAAGGGAGGGCCACGAGAGCTGTTGGAGCGCCTGGGGAAGGAGGAGGGGGACGAGGAGGAGGAGGAGGAGGAGGAGGATGAGGAGGAGGGAGGAGGAGAAGGAGGGAGGAGGAGGAGGAGGAGGAGCCGTGGAAGAGCGCGGGTCGTGTTCCCTGTCCACAGCAGTGGCTCCTCGCTGCTCCTGGGCAGGCTGTGGTCCCCTGCGAAGAGGGGGTGGGGGAGGGGAGACCCCCTGATTGCGCTTTCTCCATGCTCGGAGCCTGCGTGAGGGGCTCCTTCCGTCCTGCTTCAGGCCTGCAGGCGGAGGCGAGGGCGCTCCATCAGGGGGACAAGCTCAGGAGGAGGTCGATGTCATCGACCTGAGATCGGCGATGCATCGCCGGTAGATCGGCGATAGACCTGGGATGGTAAAGCCGCACGCTCATGAGCGGGGCGGGCTATGGGCCCCCCCTCGTCGATGGATGGGCGAATGGGGGTGGATGCATCTCCGCCATGAGCCCTGGCCTTCCGCTCCCTGGCTTCCGCTGCCTGGCTTCCGCGCCACATCTCGGGCATCTGGCGACACGAGACGATCCCTGTACCCCAGAAGGCCCTCGACGAGACGCAGCTGATGGAAACTACCCCTGGTTTCGGATACTGCCGAAAGCTGCCGAAAACCTTCGAACCCTCCCCTGAGTCTATTCGGGGAGACGTAAGACCCGGGTACGGGGGACTCGGAAATCCCCGACGAGGTCGTCAAAAAAAAGACGAGGCCGAGCCTGCATTTTGACGAGGCCTCCCGCTGCAGACATCCCACGAAACTCCTCCTCGTCAAAATCCGAGGCGCGGTCGTCAAAAAACGATGGCGAACCCGGGTCCCGGCAAACCCGGGTCTTACGCTCCCCCGATCTATCTCCACTGAGAAGATCATGTATCCATATGGCCAGGCGTGGACCAAACCGGCTCAACGCAAACCCTGCTCAACTGACTTGAGATAACTGCGCTGCAATTTATTGCGGGGGCTTTCACCTCCAAAACGCGAGAGGCCCCAAAACCCGGCTCAGCCCAAATCTGGCTTTGCAGGATCCTGCAAAGCCCAGCGCTCTGGTTGACCCCCGTCTGCGCCGAACCCCGTGACCTTCCGGCTGACCCGTGCCGATCCGCCCAACGTTGCCCCTGATTTCCCTCCTCGTGCTGAAAACTTCCTGGCGGGGGTCCTGCATCGCCTGCGCGCGCGCTCTGGGTCCGAACGCCCTGGCTGAGTCCCGTCTGCGCTGGACCCGTGACCTGCCGTCTGACCCGTGCATGTCAGCCGGGTCAGCCGGCAGCAGAGCGGATCCAGGACGAAAAACTGGCCCTTTTGGGAAAAGGGTCCCCGCCTCTGGGGCCGGAGATTGATCCCACCAGCCAAGGTCAGCCGGAAGGTCACACGAGGGTCGGCCACGCGCAGGGGGGGGTGGAGGGAGGAGGGAAGGCTTCTCAGAAGCACCCCTACGTCTTAGAAGGCGCGGGCCTCCTCTGTAGACGGAAGGCCCGCGACTTCTCAGAGGCCGCCTCCTTCTGAGCGCTCTTGCCCCCCTCCCCAAACGCCCCTCTGCGCGCCGCCCAGACTCCTGGCGGCGCGCCGATCCCCCTCTCGGCCCACGAGGGGGGTCAGGGGCAACTTTAGCGACATTGCCCCCCTATCCCCCCCTGAGCCCGCGCCTCGGGCCTTGCAGACGTGCCGCAGCGGATTTCTGCGTGGATTTTTCTGCCCGAAGCGGCGGGTGCAAAACGGAATGAATTTCACGTGGGTTGTCTTTTAGCCTTCACCCCTGGCCAAAACAGATCCGCACGAAATTCACCTCGAAACCCAGAACGAGACTCTCCAGGACACCCCCGGCCCATCCGATCGTTTTCCAAACGACATCCGCTCTGCGACGTTGGCGCCATGACCTGACGGCACGTCAGGGGGGGGGGAAGGCAGGCACGAGGAGGGAGATCACGGGCAGCGTTCCCAACGCTGCCCCTGAGCTCCCTCCTCGTGCTGGAAGCCTCCCAGCGCGCGCGCGGAGTCGATCCTGGTCCGACCTGAGGCACTCTGCCCGCTTCCGCGGACGGACCTCCTCTCCTCCTCCTCCTCCTCCTCCTCCTCCTCCTCCTCCTCCTCCTCCTCCTCCTGCTCCTCCTCCATCTGCTGCTCCTGCTCCTCCTCCTCGATCATCCTTGTGTTTCCTCCTCTTCCGTTCTCCTTCGACTTTTTGCGCTGGCCAGGCTCTGAGCGACTGAGCTTGCAGCGTCAACGGAGGCGTTCGCGATCGAAACTATGAAGAACGATCGGAATGCCACGCGCGATGAGAGGCCGATGTACCGATGCTCCAGGTGTTGGCAAAGTGCGGCCCCTGAAGGGGGGAGGGAGGCGAAGAGGTGAGGAGAAGTCGAGGAGCCCGATCGGGCGTAGAGGAGGTCCATCCTCCTTCTCCTTCTCCTTATCCTCCTCCTCGTTCATCCTCGTCCTCCTCTTCCTCCTCCTTCTCGTCCTCGTCATCACCCTCCCAATAATCATCATCATCATCATCATCATCATCATCATCATCATCATCAGCATCATCATCATCAGCATCATCATCATCATCATCATCATGATCAGCATCATCATCAGCATCCTCATCATCACCATCATCATCATCACCACCAGCATCATTATCATCATCAGCATCACCATCATCATTATCATTATCATTATCATCATCATCATCATCATCAACATCACCATCAGCATCGGCATCAGCATCAGCATCCTCACAATGTTCATGATCATGATCATGATCAGCATCATCATCAGCATCATCATCATTCGCATCGTCATCGGTATTACAGGTATCAGCTGTGCCATCAACATCACCACCATCATCCTATATACATCTTCCTTACAACAGAAATCCTGCCTGTCGCACCCCGAATCGGATCAGTAGGGCGGGCCGGGCGTTTCGCCGGAGTCTTCCTCACCATGTGTGATCACGAAGGTGATCATATACAACAATTTCACGGATAGTGGGCGGGCCGTTGTTTTAGTGTGGATCTCGCAGGACACTCGTCTTAACAAATTGCAGCACATTCAAAGATGGCGGGCAGGCCGTTTTC